CAAAGCCGAAGAGCCAGCGCTGTCTGAAGACATTTCCGTGGTCATGTGGCCGGCATGACTAAACACCAAGGCGCACGGAACGCTGTTACCTTCCCACTGAAGTGGTACCTATTTATCTACTTGCATTTTCTTGCTTTCGAACTGCTAGGTTGGCAGGAGCTGGAACTAGAGACCAGAGCTCACTCCGTCATGCGGCAAATCGGGTCTCGAACTGCTGAACTACCCGACAACCAATGCAGCTGGTGCAGCACTGGCTGGATGTGCTGGTTCCACATTTGGGCTGCCTGTGAAGCCGGCATGCTATCTTCTGGTGGGGCTCTGTGGTTCTTTCGGCTGGTGCCCTCTGCTTCCCATGCTCCGGTGTGCTGCCCACGGAGGTTATGATCTCACAGACTGGCTGAAAACTATGGTGAGGAAATGGATTCAGTCTGGAATGCATGCAGTAATTTTAGACTTCTAGGGCACCCGGGTGATTAACTACAACAAAGAAAACATCTTTGTCTTTGTAATTGGATGTAAATTGCTGAGCTGAAAAGCCATTTGTTATAGAGTAGGTAATTAAACAATATTAGAATTAATGTGCTTCCCCCGGGACCAGCGGCTTCGGTACAAATGGTGCTCAGAGTTACCTGCAAAGGATGCCACTCTGGTGCAGCTGGAAAGCATCAGGGACAAGAGCACATGGAACATACTGGGAGAAGGAAAAGGAGCTTGAGTGTGAAGGAGAGCCAGTGTGGCATCATGAATTTCCTGCATTGTGCAGGGGGTTAGACTAGATGACCCTGGTTGTTGTTTCGTCAAACAGTCAAGTCACAGACTCTTCGCGACCCCATGGACCAGCTCCCGCCAGGCCCTCCTGTCTTCCGTCGTCCTCCAGAGTTTACTCAATTTCATGTTCGTTGCATCTATGACACTGTCTAACCATCTCATCCTTTGCCGTCCCCGTCTTCTTTGACCTTCAATCTTTCCCAGCACCAGGGTCTTCTCCAGTGAGTGCTCCCTTCTCATTTGGTGGCCAAAGTATTTGAGCTTCAGTTTCATTATCTGGCCTTCCGGGGAACAGTCAGGGTTGATTTCTTTTAGGACTGACTGATTTGATCTCCTTGCAGTCCAAGGGACTCTCAAGATGACCCAGGAGGCCCCTTCCAACTCTATGATTCGGTGGTTAGAGTGTCAGTCAGACTGGGATCCGGAAGACTCAGGTTCCTTGCCATGGAAGCTCACTAGGTGACCTTGGGCCAGTCACACATTCTCAGCCACACCTACCACACATGTTCGTTGTGAGGGTAAAATGGAGAGATGTACAATGTCTCCTTTCTGTGTAATATCCTTCCTTTCTTTTATGGAGATCAGGGCAGTGTACAGAGTTCTGCTTTCTGCATTTTGACCTCACAACGTCCAGGGGAAACAGGTTAGATTGAGGGCAACCTAACTGAATATTGAATGTCAGCCAGTGAGTTTGCAACTGAGAAGCTGAACCTGGGTCTCTTTGACATCACATTGGAGATGTCCCTTTGCCCTCCAGGAAGACCCCTGAAGTTGCCCGCTGGGGACAAGGCCGGATCTAGCAACCATAAAGAACAATTTCTGTTTAGCTGGAATTTGGTGGAAAATATCAGAGATAGATGGGTAGAGAAGCAAGTGTCACCACTGGCATTTTTCTTCCTTCTTATTGCCTATGATTGTAGCCAGGGCTTTTTTTGTAGAAAAAGCCCAGCAGGAACTCATTAGCATAATAGGCCACACCCAGCAGCAGAAACTCATTAGCATGTTAGGCCACACCCCTGACTGCACCGCTCATTAGCATATTAGGCCACATTCCCATGTGACCAGAAGTGTGGTCATCCAGCCACACCCACCTTTTGCTTCTTATTCTGTTTACCTTGTTTGTTGTCAAAACCCAGGGCTTTTTTTGTAGCAGGAACTCCTTTGCATGTTAGGCCACACACCCCTAATGTAGCCAATCCTAATGAGTTCCTGCTGTTGGGTGTGGCCTGTTATGCTAATGAGCTCCTGCTGGGCGTGGCCAACTCAGGAGACAGCCGGAACTCCGTTCCTGTGCGTTCCTGCCTAAAAATAGCCCTGATTGTAGCTTTACATTCTCAGTGGACTTTTAATTTTAATGCAATTTTAATTATGCTGTTAGCTCGATCAAGAGGCCTAATTAAAGTACATAGCTTACAGTTACCAACATCCAGCTGGGGCCTGGAGATCTCCCAGAATTACAACTGATTTCCAGACCACAGAGATCAGTCCCCCTGAAGAAAAGGGCTGCTTTGGAGGGTGGACTCTGGGGCACTGTGCCCTGCTAAGGTCCCTCCCCTCCCCAAACCCCGCCCTCCCTAGGCTCCACCCCCAAAACCTCCAGGTATTTCTCAACCCAGACCTAAGCAATCTTAAGCATAAAGCACCATAATGTGTTTGTGTGCAGTAGTAGTAGTCTACCAAATTATTATGCATTGCATTAGAAGACCATGACTGCAAACCCTTGATGCATGCACTGTGCTCTGAAATGCTAGTGCATAAATATAACAGGGGGAAATACACACACACACACACACACACAGAGTGTCCTTTCCATATTTTATCATTAGGGAACAGAAGCGAAAGGGGAAGAGGACGAGTTGTGGCAGAAGGCTGCGGGCTACTTCTATGAAGGCAGTTCTTTCAGGAAACTGCCGGTCACTCTCATTTGTGGAAATCACAATTCCCCACCAGCTCTGAGCCCAATTTCATCGAGTGTTTTTGATGACTAGTTTGTTGCTATGTTATGGAGACTTCTGCCAGTTCTTTCCCCCTTCAAAGGGCTTCTGCTCTGCAGCCTGCTACTGGGCGGAGGTGGAGTGTAAGATGTTAAATAACCATTAAAAAAGTGTTTGGAACAACAGCTATTGGGAAACCTGTTGTAAGTCTCAGAACAGTGATGAAGCTGTGATTTTCAGCTTGGGAGGTGAAAATTATGAGTTTTCCCTTTACACCAGCTGTTGACATTCTATATTATCGAATATGATTCAAATGTTGTGCAAAATGTATGTGCTAAAATCTGTACCGGGTTTCACTGTTATTTAGGGTTCCAGACCCCCCGCTGCCAGGCCCCAGCTCCCTACTGCCAATCAGCTGGCCAGTGGAGAGAACTTAGCCCCTCCCCACCAAAGGGAGAAACAGCTGATGTTTCAGCGATTTGCCCATGTGACTTCAATGTGATCTGGAAAGTGACACAGGCACATCGGGGACGTTGGCTGATGCTCTAGCTTTTGGGCAAAAACTCTATGGCAGAAGCTAATAGAAGATATGCACTGTTTTACTGGTGAACAGCTGGTAGGTTTCCCAACCCCCCAATTGGGGCTTGGAGTTCTCCTGGAATTATGGCTGATTTTCCAGATTACAGAGATCAGTTCCCCTGAGGGAAATGTCAACTTCAGGGGGTGGAAGCTGTAGCATCCCATTCCCAGGGAGGGGGCAAGCAGCCAGCCACAAAATGGCTGCCACGGGCAATCACAACATGTTGGGAGGTTTTAAGTTGACAGTCATGATGGAGAGTCTATGATGGAGACAGCTGCTTCCATATGGTGCTAGGGTTGCCAGGCAGTGTGGTGCGAGTGGCTGGAGTAGGGATGGATGCCAGCCTTCAGGTGGGACCTGGGAACCCCCCAGAATTACACCTGCTCTCCAAACTACAGAAGTCAATTCCCATGGAGAAAATGGATGCTTTGGAGGATGGGCTGTATGGCATCATACCCCACTGAGGTTCCTGTCCTCCCCAGTCTGCATCCCCAAGTCTCCAAGAGTTTCCCAGCTTGGATCTGGCAACTCTACCTTCCATCTCCTGTCAGTGGCTGGGGGGACCTGGCAACTCTAGACTGGAGGGTTACGGGTAGGGCCATCGGGAGGCACAGTGTCATGTGTGATACTATGTCACTTCTAGTTTAAAAAAAGAAAATTACAAAGGGGAGCTTTCTAGGAATTGCTGGAAACTCTATGGTAAAACCATTGAATTTCTGGCGATTCCTAGAGCCACCCTTTGTTACTTCCAATAAAAACTTCCAGTGCTACTTAAAAAAAAAAAATCTCCTTCTGCTGCTGAGTGGTAGGACACAAAGTAATGGCTCGTTGCTTTTCAAAGTACTGCACTACTAGAGAGAATACCAAAACTCTATCCGGCCTGTGAGAGACAGCAGAGAAGAATGTTCATGTGTCTCATGTGCCCATAGTATAGCTAGGCCCAGAGTGTATGTATATAGAACTGAATGATACAGAAAATTAGAGGAATATGGAGACACAGGAGAGTAAGGAGACATAGGGAGTAAGGGAACAGCTACATGTAGTCCGAGTTCAGACTGGCAGTTTGAAGCTGGAGGAAGTTGTGGCAAAAAAGAGCCGGAACAAACTGTTCCGGGTTTTCTCATTCACACTGCAGCGACTGATGCGGGAGCATACTGGGAGGAGGGGCAAGGGAGCGTTCACACTGTTGGCCTGGAGGCACGGCTGTAAGGCGCGGCTTTTTTTTTTGGTAATCTGGAGATTTGCACTTATGCGCATAAGCGCATAAGAAAAATGCGGCTTTTGGCATTCACACTATGTTGGTGCAGAATGGACGCGGGATAATCGCGCTTTCCAGGGTTCGCTACCGCTTTCACCAGGTAGCGAAGCGTTACAAGACGGGTTGAGTACGGGTGGAGAATGCCTGACAGATGTGCCTGTGTGAACGGCCCCTTTTAATCTGGTTGTGGGATGGTTCTGAAACGTGCCTATATTGGGGCAAACTGCCAGTCTGAACTCTGCTGTAGTGACTCAGTGGAGAAGCACAGAGAGACACCGGAGAGGAAGGAGTTAACAAGCACATTTGTTTAATAAAAGATTTTCCTGTATTACTATTGCCTGCCTCTTGCCTAATTACAAAGGCCACTTGAGACATAGTGCAGAAAAGGGCAGCATGAGAAAATGGAAAACACAAGATAGACAAAGTTAAAGCCGGAAGCCTTATTCTTAAAAGAGAAAAGCAGCCCAATATGTGTCAGATTTAATCTTTCTCAGGAGCAACTATGAAATATAAACAAGAATAAACAAATATGAAAACGAAACTTGCTATAAACACTCGGAAAAACATCCATACGTTTGTTCATTTAGTCTTTATTGCAGCAGTGAATAAGCCATAGCTAGACGTCTGCTATTATTTGTCAATAACATTCATAATAAAATACAGAATTTTAAATATACAGCGTGAACCAACCAGCTTGACTTTGAGAAGACGCAAATATATATGAAGTCTGGACTTTGATAAACCCCATGGGGGAATGCTAAGATAATGCAACAAAATTGAAAGAAGCATCACATTTTAAGCAAAGACACCCCATTCTGGCTATTTTGAATTTTTGCCCAAACAGCTTTCTTGATTCGTGTGGGGTTATCAGTTTTCTGTTAGACATAATTCTTATCTTTATGAGAGCCTTTTAAAATGACCAAGATTGAAGCAGGCAGACCTAAACCTTGACTGGTGGTTGGAAAACACAAAACAAAAAACTCTTGCACAAAATATGACCGGCCAAAGGCAGCTTTCCCAACAAGCTTTGGGTCCGGTTTGCCACGACTGCATAAGCAAGCCTCCCACAATTGCTTGGGGTGGCCGTATTTTCAGAGGTGCCCATAAAACAGAGCACAGTCTGAGAGGTGCTTCTAGTAATATCCAGGATGCTGCAGTGTCACTCTTGAGGTTCACATGTCCACTTGTGATCCAAGAGCTGTGATCCAGCATCCCCTCCATCATGGGGCACAACCAGAGTGGTGTAGGGGTTAAGAGTGGCGGACTCTAATCTAGAGAACCAGTTTGGTTCCCCACTCCTCCACATGAAGCCAGCTGGGTGACCTTGGGTCAGTCACAGTTCTCTCAGAGCTCTCTCAGCCCCCTCCCTACCTCACAGGGTGTTTGTTGTGGGGAGCGCAAGGGAAGGCGATTGTAAGCCACTCTCGGCCTTTTGGCTAAGATCAGCGTAAACATTATCTAAAAAAAAGTAAGCCACTCTGAGATTCCTTCAGATAGAGAAAAGTGAGATATAAAAACCAATCTCCTCCTCGTCCTCCTCTTCTGCTGCTTCTGCTGCTTCCACTTCCTCCTCCTCCTCCCAAATCGCACAGTCCAGCCTTGATATTTTGCCCTACTAACAGTATTGGCATGTGACACAGGGAAACTAGGTGTCCGGCTTCAGTGGGAGACCTCCTGCCCCCCTTGTCATCTCTTCCCACTGCAACTCAGCTGCATGGCAGGGGGAAAATGCTGGGGAAGGGGGGGCATTGGCACTACACTGACACCATGACATCACTTTCAGCATGACCCAGAAGTGACATCATTGCATTGGGCAATGCTCTAGTAGTCTAGTAGTCAGGCCTATTGGCCTATGGAAGGGAGGGTGCATACGAATGCCCTATATCCCATTTTGCTTGTAGGGGCGACACCATTCTTAACAGAATGTCAGGTTCCACAGCCAACAACAGAGTACATGCTTATCAGAAAGGGTATACTCTGTTGAAGAGCTATAGTTGCATTAACAGAGGCACTGTTAAGAATGGCGTCGCCCCTACAAGCAAAATGGGATATAGGGCATTCGTATGCACCCCCCCTTCCATAGGCCAATAGGCCTGACTCCCGCACGTGGGAGAAGGCGCCCCAGACCGTTAGAGTTGAAGCTAGGAACCGATAGCGCTTCCATGGTTTTCCCTTCGCGCCAGACACTACACCACCTGCACATCTTAGAGATAACAGCATTATGGCAGAGACGAAGCACAGAAGGAATGCAGCAGTAATTAGTACACAGAAAAGGGAAGCCGATGGCCTCCTGAACTATCGTGGCAGCATAGCTGACAAGTATTTGCCTAAAACTCTACGGTTAAACCATAGGGTTCTGGGCAAATGCTAGAGTGTTGCCACAGCACAAAGACACTGGAAGTGCCGTCATGGCATTGGTGCAATGCCAAAATGGTAAGTCCCCTCCCTGCATGGCTGGCAACCCTAAGAGACAATAGGTTTCCCTCTCATGTTAGCACTGTGTCCCAGACCTTTTTCCTATGAAAAACCTGTCAACAGAACAACTCACAGAAAAGAGCCACTAGGAATCAAGGAATCCGTCTCAAATTACAGCCTGTCATTCTGCTGGATCCAGACTCATCTTTCCTGTCCTCCCCCTTTCCACTGCAGCCCATTGATCTCCATGCAATGCTGCTCCTGGAGGAGAGGGGATCCAGAGTAGGGGTGCCAGTCTCCAGGTGGGATCTGGGGATCCCCAGGAATCACAGCTGATCTCCAGACTACAGAGGTCAGGTCCCCCGGAGAACGTGGATGCTTTGGAGGGTGGACTCTATGGCACTGTATCCCACTGCAGTCCCTGTCCTCCCCAGGCTCTACTCCCAAATCTCTAGGAGTTCTCTAACCTGGACCTGGCAACATAACCCCCTCATCCCACTCCAGTGGCCAGAGGGAACCTCACAACCCTAATCCAGAGGAATGACGTGAGGAGAGTCCTTAGTGGGAAGGGGGAATCATTGCACATTTGGTCAGGATCCAACACATTAACTGGGCTAGGTGTTGTGAGAAAAGTGTGTGTCTGCACGTGTCTGTAAATGCATTTTACCCGTGCCACCCACACTGTCCTCTTGGTTCGTGTGTCCCCTGAGTGTTGCCTCCTTACCAAAGGCAGAGGTGTAAGCTTGGAAACAGCTAAGCGCTGGCAGAGACACTCAAAGGTCTCTTCTTAAAATAAAACTTATCTTTATTAAAAGATAAACATTCAAAGGTTTAAAGGCCTCTTGGGCTGACCCTCAACATCCCAGGAGAGTAAAACCTCTCCTGGTCTTTCAAGAGCCAGCGAAAGTCTGTTGGATTGGACCAGTATTTATACCACATGATCAAAGAGGTCCCTCAATTACAGTTGTAAATTAACATTTAGAAGTTGAAATTGTTTTACTGGAAATTGCTTTCTTGCATCTTACACAACAAAAATTCACATTCCACAGGATCAATACAGTGTCATTGTTTTCTCCTGGTGTTTCCCAATCATGGGAAATAAACTGTCCTTTGATGTTATCTCTGAGATGGAAGTGGGGAGTGTGAAATCTCAGTATCTCAGGAGTTTGCATTTTGGATTAGGGTCTGTTATTGCCCAAATGGCCTTCCTGGCCAGCTGGACTTTTATTGCTGGTTATTGTAAGTCTCACACCTGTGGTGATTTCCTGGGGATGGAATGTGTGATCTTTGCTTGTGACCAAGAAAGAAATTTGTCTGGAACAACCTGTTTGCTGTTTTGCTAGCAAAGACAGAGACAGCTATATAGATTTTATAAACTATTTGGTTCATTTTTAAACCCAAACCTTTTATATTTCTAAAATTTCTTACCACACTAGGAAAATGTGCACTTGTGGGAATCTATGCCCAAGGCAGGCCCCAGATATTTTTGCTCTCCCCAAATGGCTGCAATGCATAACTAGAAAGGTGAGCTCTGTGTTGTTTGACAAAATTGCAGTGGATGAAGCAGGCAGGCATGCAAAACCCAGGAACTGCTCTCACCATCCTCTGTGATGTTTCCAAGTATGCTCAGAGGCACACCTGTGAGATTTCACATTCTTCATTGGCTTCCGTCAATCCATCACTGCCTGCTGTGATTGACTGGCCTGCCTGTGCTGCTGGACCCGCTCTGTATTTCACTCAGTTCCTCCGACCAATGGAATGCAAAGACATGGCTGCAAAAGTGAGTTATTTTACTGTTCTTTTCACGGAGTGGGAAAAAATGATAATACTCATGCACTTTCCTGACAGGTATCGTCAGTTTTGGAGTATGGGCGCATAATAATTTACACAACCAGCCTTCGAGTGGTGAGAACAACTTTTGAAAGATGTGAGCTGGTTCGAAAGATCTTCCAAAACCACCGAGTGAAATTTGAAGAGAAGAACATTGCCCTGAATGGTGACTACGGGAAAGAACTCGATGAGCGATGCAGAAGAGTCGGTGAAACCCCATCACTACCCGTTGTGTTCATTGAAGGCCAGTACTTGGGGGTGAGTACAACATGTGAGCCAGTTAGACTCCTAGAGCACAAACAACAATCTATATGTGCATGAGTGTAAATTTCCAAATAATTCCCCTGTCACAATTAGGGTTTCCAACACTGACTCAGCAAATGCAAGGAAATTTTGAGTACGGTGCCTGGGAGGGCAGAGTTGGGGGTAGGATATGAGGTCCCTTTTGGATGATGCTGTAGGCTGCCTCCCTTAGTCTCTATGGTCTTTACCATAGAAACTAGGGGTAATTCCTAGAGTGTTACTATGTGGAAGACATTTTTTTTCTCCTGCTCCTCAGTTCCTCAAAAGTGGGAAACTGGGTGTGGGAGAATAGAATTTTCCACCCTGGGCAGGTAAATGGAAGTGCTTAGTCACAATTCCTCTGGGCCCCCAGCTTGTAAACAACTATACATACAGAGAGCTGCCCAACCTCCTAGATTCACTAGGACTTTTCTTTAAATCTTCAACAAACTATTGTACTCTTGTTCATTCAAGCCCGTTTAATTAAGAAGATTACAAAACTTGCATTTTCTAGTTTACAGTTACTGGTTCTCCCTTATTGCTCCTAAATCAAAATCTGAATATTTGCTGTCCCAAAAAGGCAGCAGGGTTGCAAAAAGTTGCCACTTGGTATGCAACTGTAGCAGTGGTTAACTATGCAATCTGGTTTTGGAATGGGGCTGATTTTGATGTGCTACATTGAGTTCTGCTTTAGTTTATACAGCTACCCCTGTTTTCAAACCAGAAATACGATGCACTGGTGATCCCTGGCCTGAGAGAGATATAGGCAAAGGTAAAGGTTCCCTTGCTTGAAAGCCAGTCGAATCCGACTCTAGGGTTGCGGTGCTCATCTCCGTTTCAAAGCCGAAGAGCCAGCGCTGTCCGAAGACGTTTCTGTGGTCATGTGGCTGGCATGACTACACACCAAGGCGCACGGAACGCTGTGACCTTCCCACTGAAGTGGTACCTATTAATCTACTTGCAATTTCTTGCTTTCGAACTGCTAGGTTGGCAGGAGCTGGAACTAGAGACGGGAGCTCACTCCGTCATGCGGCACACCCGGGTCTCGAACTGCTGAACTACCGACCTTCCACAGCCTGCAGTTCAGCGTCTTAACCACTTGAGCCACCGCAGCTCCTTGAGAGAGATATATACATTGTATATTTTACTGTAGTTCCCCCCCCCTAGTTATTTACTGTACATTCCTTTCTGTTGTAAGCTGCCCTAAGCCCTCCTTGCAGGGAAGGGCAGCCTAAAAACTCAGTCAATCAATCAATCAAACAAACAAATAAATATTATATGGACACGGTGGGAGGAGACATTAATTAAGCCACCGGCCTCAATTTGTAAGACCTGAGCAAGGCTGTTAACGATAGGACTTTTTGGGAGGCCATTTATTCATAGGGTTGCTGTAAGTTGGAAGCAATGTGGCAACACTTAACACACATACAGTGTTGAGGTGCAAAGGCTATGTGCAACGGCAGACTTGTATATGAAAGATGGGGTGGGAATTATCTTCCCGGAGCTATGAGCAGGATGGTAGCTGAATTTATGGTGCCAACATTCAGAGAGGTTCTTAAGCCACGTTTCAGTGACCGCTCAGTCTTGTTATGATGTACAAACCCATTTCCTACAAATAAAGGTTGTAAAGGTTTGCGTGCTGGAAAGGAGACTTGACACGAAAAGCACAAATCAGAAACATTTAAGTGCAGAGATAATGGAGCCTTATGGATAGAAAATCTAGCAGTTCAACAGAGCTGTCTCCTGGAAATCGAGATCTGTTTGCTTCTCTACCCGGATTTCTCTTATCACTTTCAAAGATTTTGTCAGCATTCCTGTCTCCCCAGTACACAAACCCTGATGCATCACAGGTGATATTTTATCCGTACTGGGGTACTTAAGTATAGAGGGAAATGCATGCATGGTCATAATTAAGGGTTCCCTTGCTCGAAAGCCAGTCGAATCCGACTCTAGGGTTGCGGTGCTCATCTCCGTTTCCAAGCCAAAGAGCCAGTGCTGTCCGAAGACATTTCCGTGGTCATGTGGCCGGCATGACTAAACACCAAGGCGCACGGAATGCTGTTACCTTCCCACCGAAGTGGTACCTATTTATCTACTTGCAATTTCTTGCTTTCGAACTGCTAGGTTGGCAGGAGTGGCCATAATTGGTCATGTGTAAAGTCTTTTACTGTATGGATGTGTGGAGAAGCCGCGACTGGCGATGCCTCTGTTGTAGAATAGGCTTCTACTGAAGACTCCCCAGGGACTAGGAGTGTGTTTGCATGCTACAAAGGTTGCAACCTTAGTGACAGTTTCTGCTTTTGTGCTTCATGTGCAATAATTTAAAATAGAGCATGCAAGCTTCCTCAGTGGGAAAGATATAGGAACACTTTGTGTCTCCCCACCACAACTATGATGCAAAATCTGACAGGAGCAATCTAAGCACATCATTTGCACATTTTTGAAAAAAAATTATAAACATTTTTGTGAGCATTGATGTAGTCCAGCAGACATACCTATTCTCTCTGTTTAGTTGAAAGCTGACATGCATGTATGTGTTGATCACGCCCTCTGTGTGTCACTCTTGGCTGATCTATGATCATAACAAATAAGGAATGAAAGGATGGTTCTGTGCCTGACGTAATCCCCAGCTTTTTGGCCTGGCCAGATGAAAGGAGGTTCAGTACTCTGATTCTGCTTTCATCCTTTTGTCACTAAGTGGATTCCATCTTTTTCTGGGAGTACAGTGGGCCAGATACAAGACAGAGTAATGTAGTCTTTTTGAAGCACTTTCCAGTCTGGATAGCAGAATGTTGATGAAAAATATCCAGAGATTCCACTTTAATCTCAGAATTTTTGAGAGATGTTTCCTGTGATGATTTATGATGTGGCTGACGGCACCACCTTGGCAAATGCTGAGATTTTGAGGGCACTGCCTGGGGACAGCAGCTTTTGCAGAGGATGTGAAATCCCCTAGAACTCCCTCAGCATTAATACAGAGTAGCTTCTAAAAGGTATTAATAGAATAAAATTGTCACTGCAAACCTCTTCGAATACCCTGGGAGGTTCCTTCTATATCAGCCGTCTGAAGCTACACGGTTTTCTGGAAACATCTGCCTTTGAAATATTTACAATAGGCAGTCCCTTCTACATTAGTAGTCTGAAGCTATACAGTTTTCTGGAACCTGATGCCTTTGAAATACTTAGAATAGTGATTTTCTTGAGGAAGATTAAACGAAGTCTTCAATATTTGGATTCTTCATTGGAAAGAACTACTTTGGAAATAACACTTCATGGAATATTTCATCGTGTATCAGAAGATTCATATTTAGGATCATTGTGCTTTATTGTGCAAGTATTATATTCATGTACTGCACACATTGTGTATGTCCGATATATTAACACTTGTTACTAGTTCTATTGTGTCCTGCTGCACAGCTTTCCCCCATTGTTGTTACTAATATAGGATATAAGGCCATACAGTCCTCTCTCTCTCTCTCTCTCTCTCTCTCAAGCCATTTTCTCCATGGGAACTGATCTCCGTAATCCAGAGATCAGTTGTAATTCCAGGAGATCACCAGGCCCCACCTACATGTCGGCAACCTTGATGGAGGTCGTGTTCCGGATGCCTCCACCAAATGAGGACAAAGCTGAAATATGGATATTGATTTGTAGGGCTTTGCGGGTGTGGGGGGAGAGCAAGGGGTACAAATTCCGGGGGAGGGGATTGCTCTGGCAGCCACAGGAGCTGGGCAAGGTGCCACTGGAGATAGTAGCAGAATACTTGTTTTGACAAAACATCTTGGGCGATTTCGCACTAGAGCTGCCTCGCGGCGCAGCCGCCGTTTGCCCCGACACAAATATGTCAGTTTCACACCCGAAGCTGCGGGGCTGCATTTTGACTCGCGGCTTCGCCCGATTTCCTTCGCAGTTTCGTGATCCTGGTTTTTGATGATCACGAAACTGCGGAGGAAATCGGGCGAAGCCACGGGTCAAATGCGGCCCCACAGCCTCGGGTGTGAAATTGGCAAATAATGTCGGGGCAAATGGCGGCTGTGCCGCGAGGCAGCTCTAGTGCGAAATTGCCCCTTGTGTGTTCTTCTGAAAGTGACTGGGTGGGGGCAAATGCACGAGAAGAGAGGCACATGGGAATCTTTGTCTGAGCCCCATGATAGCTCTCTGGCAACTTCAGGTAGGGTCTCTTCTTGGTGACATCAAGACTGTGGAATAGCCTTTCTCAGGAGATTCCCTTGACAGCGGCATTGTTTTGATGCCAGATGAGTTGATGTCATTTATCTAGTTTCTGCTCATGTTTGAGTTATTCTGTTTCCCCCCTCATTTTCTTTCATATATTGTCTTCCTTTTACTTACTGCCATAAAAAAAACTGTAAGATCAGTTCTTACACTCTATTTTATTCTGCTGCAGTGTATTTTTTATATTGTTTATTGTTACCTGCTATCAGGGCTCTTTTTGTAGAAAAAGCCCAGCAGGAACTCATTAGCATAATAGGCCACACCCAACACCAGAAACTCATTAGCATATTAGGCTGCGCCCCTGCCAGCTTAGCTCATTAGCACATTACGATGCACCCCCATGTTACCAGAAGTGTGGTCATCCAGCCACACCCACCTTTTGCTTCTTATTCTGTTTACCTTGTTTGTTGTCAAAACCCAGGGCTTTTTTTGTAGCAGGAACTCCTTTGCATGTTAGGCCACACATCCCTAATGTAGCCAATCCTAATGAGTTTCTGCTGTTAGGTGTGGCCTATTATGCTAATGAGTTCCTGCTGGGCGTGGCCAACTTGGGAGCCAGCCAGAACTCCGTTCCTGTGCGTTCCTGCCCAAAAATAGCCCTGCCTGCTATTAATTTGTTATACTTCTCATTCATTCATTCATTCATTCATTCATTCATTCATTCATTCATTCATTCATTGGATTTATACCCCACCCTCCCACCAAGGCAGGCTCAAGGGCGGCTTACATAAAAAAATTGTAAT